CGGAAGAGCCTGTGCTAAAGTCATCTGAGCAAATGCCACCACATAGTTGGCCCCAGGCAGGAGAGCACCCTGCATCTGTCCTGTGGTCTTTCATGCTGGCCTTTGGCATGTATACCTAGAGGATTGCAGTAGGTAGGGCTAGCATCTCTTTCTTGTCCCTGGACAGGTGCAGCAGCCAGGGACCGGATCTGAGCAGGTCAACCCCCATACAGAGGGCCGGGTGTTCGGTGGGCAAGGACTCTGTGCCCGGGCCCTGTATGACTACCAGGCAGGTAAGGTGCCCTAGACTAGTTGCCAGGCCAGGGTTCTGAGGTAGGAGACATGAGGATTAGGAGCTTGGGGGGACCTCCGGTTGTCAGGAGGGGATAGGACAATAGGAGGCTAGTTTGGGGTGAACCCCTACTAGAGTGGGCCGATGAGGCACTGAAGCTCTTGTCCCTGTGCTCTGGCAGCTGCTCGCTGCCTGCTGGTACAAATCCCACTTGCCATCCTTAAGAGCCTGAAGGCAGAGTTCACATGGGTGTGGGGCCAGGCCTACACACTGGTGCTTGGAAGGTGTGGGTGGGGCTGGGGGTGTTGCTCTGCTCAGTGAGCCTGGGGAGGGCAGGGCCCCTGATTCAGTGCCTGCACTCACCCTTCTGCAGCTGACGACACAGAGATCTCCTTTGACCCTGAGAACCTCATCACAGGCATCGAGGTGATCGACGAGGGCTGGTGGCGTGGCTACGGGCCGGATGGCCACTTTGGCATGTTCCCTGCCAACTATGTGGAGCTCCTTGAGTGAGGCCAAGGCCTACCTTCCAACCCACCCAGATGGCCCCTAGCTGCTGGGTTAGGGGGCCCATCAAGAGCCCATACGCTGTGAAGGGCACCCATGAGGACAAGTCCCTGGGACTCCCCGGGCTTGGGTGGCTTGGCCTCTGACACCCAAATGCAGCAATAACCTGGTGATTCCCCAACATGTTCCCTGTAGCCACCCAGATCCTCCCTCCAGCCTGGGCCTGACCTCATGGCCACATCGGCAGGGGGCATGGAGCTGAGTGAGGTCATCTGGAGGCTGCTTCTGAATTTGCCTTTCTTTCCTGCTCTTGCTTCTATGGAGTGGTGTCTACAGCTGTTCAGAACAACCATTGGGCACAGGGAGCTCCCGAGGGTGGTTTTGGGTAGAGCTTATGACCAAGCCTGAGTGGACACAGACAGTGTGGGCAACAGGGGTCATCTCATTGGCCCCTGCTCATGGTTGTCCACCTTCTTAGGCTATGGGAAGTGCTTGGGCTGTGGGAAGTGGATTCAGTGACCCAGCCCCCCACCTTTGCGTGTGTGAAAACAGCAGACATGATGTGCCTTCGTGTGGCTCACTCAGTGCTTGCCAGCTGTCCCACAGAGTGATCCTGGCTTCAATCCCCCATTCTCTGTCCCAGCCCTTTGTGTCCTGAGGAATAGGTCTGCTTTTATGCTGAGATTCCCCATGGTCTACTTGAGCCCTTGGCCCAGCCCTGCCCTACTCAGTGGTCCCAGGTGGAAACAAACACCCTGCCTGGGATAAGCACATGTGTGCCTATGTGTGTGCATACCCAAATGCATCCTCAAGCCTTAGCGCCAATGATCAGCCACCTGGGAAAGGCATGGATATTTGGGTGTGGTTACAGCCAGAACCTTCCTGTGTTTCCATTCTGGAAGAGGTCAGGGGTTGCCCTGTTCCCTATCTTGAGCTTCCGCCCATGTGCACTGTGTGTGTGTGGAGTGAGGTTCCTGGTGCCCTCCAAATCTGGGAACTAGGTCCCTCTGGTGCCCCAGGAGCTAGACAGATAAATGTGACTCCTATCCTCCCCTGATGGTGGTGGCCCAAAGAAAAGCTGCACCAAGGGCAGCACACCCTCCTCTCATGAAGATTGCAGGCCTGCCTAGCTTTGAGGCCCCCTGAGACTTGTCTGTCCCCAGCCAGGAAGTGAGACTTGGTGCCCTCTAAAGACAGCTGGGTGGGAAGTGATGGTGTCCTGGCTATGGTCTTTCCCCCATGGGGATAGCCACATCACTGGACTCTGCCCTAAGTGGCCCCACACACTGGTTCCAGAGCCTGGTATCAAGTGGCCCTGAGCTTCAGGCTCACAGTCCCTTGCCCCTGGAGTCTCCACAGCTAATGGTACCCACACTGGACTTGAGATGGTGGGAGGAGGTGCCTTTATTGCCCTGAGGGCCATCCCTCTCACTTGGCCTTGCCTTGGGCAGCCACAGCCTCCATGGCCTTCCGTACTGTCTCCTCGTCACCCAGGAAGCGCATTGGCTTGGTGGGCTTCAGTGCCTGGTCCAGCTCGTACACGATGGGAATCCCCGTGGGCAGATTCAACTCCATGATGGCCTGGTCTGACATCCCTGAACCAGAAGAACAGTCATTCTTAGTCCCTTCACCCCCAGCCCATCCAGGCAGATGCTGACCTTTATGGGCCAGAGTCAGTACCCCAGACACCAGCTCTCCTGGCTAAGAACAAGGCTACAAAGTAAACCTAAAGGTCAGAGTAAAACCACCCTGGACTAAGCAGCCTCCAGAAATAGCCCTGCGGTGAGCAAGGGCCTTATGTGGCCAAGCCACTATCCATGCCTGCAGGTGCTGCCCATGATCTTGGCCCAATATAACACCTGGTCAGGCTGAAGTAGGGGGTCAGGAAGAACACTCATGAAGGTTTCTAGAGAGTTCTAGATACCCCAGGCAAGAGGTGGTGAGACAGCTAGGTGGTGGGAAGTAGTGCCTGCTGGAAACCCGAGCCCTGTGCCTGCTGTGCTGGGAATAGCAGTTCGACCTTTGGGATGTGCCTGCCTGGCCTCCGTGCAGGAGTTTGAAAGCCAGGGACACCCAGACTCCCACTGAAATGCCCTACAGGGCCACCCCCTGGTTTGGGCCACACCCGATGGTGCCCAAGGGTTCCTCTAGTCCATGTAACAGGCCTGACCCCAGAGGCCTATTTGTTACCCCTCCTTGCCTAGTGGGAACCTACCCTCAACTGTGAAAGCCTGGCTGCTCCCAGCCTCATTACCTCATTACCCCTCTGGACTGGTCTTGCCTCTGCCTGGGAAGGGCAGTGATGGGGCAGGAGCTGAGCGCTACTGGGGGTTGGGGAGGAAGCAGGTTCAATCCACACCCAGCGGCAGCCAGGCCAGAGGCATTTATAGCTGTGTGCATGTGTGCATAGTCTGGCCTTTTAACTGGCCAGGTCCCCGTGGGTAGCATGCCAGCCTCAGCCTGCCTGCCTGTGGTCAGGGGGTGCTCCCTGAGTGGCTTGGTCTCTGGTTGTGCAGGCTTAGCCCCTGTTGCCTTTGTAGGAAGCCCATTTTGCTTAGAGTCTAGTGCATGCATAAAACAAAGTTTTCACACAATTGCTTAAAATGTTTTCTCAACCCTCCTGGTTTAACCCACAGCTTGGAAGTCCAGGGGTCTGCAAAGCTGCCCTGCCCAGAACTGAAACAAGAACCCTGGGTGGTCTGCTCTGACTCCCCAACCCCTGGCCTGCTTCCATCCACACCCTCCTGAATGTGGGTCTCACCTTCCAGGTGCTTGACGATGCCCCGCAGGCTGTTCCCATGGGCTGCAATCAGCACCCGCTTGCCAGCCTTGATCTGGGGTGCAATCTCATCATTCCAGAAAGGCAGGGCCCGGGCAATGGTGTCCTTGAGGCTCTCACAGGTGGGCAGTTCCCCAGGCTTCAGGCCTGCATACCGGCGTTCCTGGGGGATGTAGGCATGTGACTGTGCCCCCCAGAAACTGCTGCACTTGCTTCCCAGCCAGGCCCTAACCTCATGGTGTAGCCCCCCACACCCCAGAGGTCTTCCCTACTGTACCCACCTTGCTGATGGTGCTGTAATAGGGGTGCTTTTCATCCATGGGGGGTGGCGGGATGTCAAAGGACCGCCTCCAGATCTTCACCTGCTCCTCCCCGTGCTTGGCAGCTGTCTCCGCCTTGTTGAGGCCTGTGAGACCCCCATAGTGTCGCTCATTGAGACGCCAGGTACGCACCACAGGCAGCCACATCTGGTCTGTTCCATCCAGAATGGTCCAGAGGGTGCGGATAGCGCGCTTCAGCACTGATGTGTAGCATATGTCAAACTCCATCTTGGCGTCCTTTATGGCCACAGCCCCCCTCTTGGCCTCTTCAGCTCCCTTCTCACTCAGCTCTGCATCAAACCAGCCACAGAAGCGGTTTTCCTGGTTCCATGTGCTCTCACCATGTCGGACCATCACGAGGCGGTGGGTGGCCATGGCAGCAGTTGGGACCAGGGGGCCGTGTGGACAGGGACAGCTGCCTCGCCTGCACCTCAGCTTTATAACATTCTGTCCCAGCCCCGCCCAGCCAGGCGGCGTCAGGTGGCCAGTAGCAGATCTGGGGGAGGGAGGTGAGGGCCAGGAGCTGGACTTAAAATAGCCCCTCGCCACTTCCAGCCGGGCCTGGGCTTCGGCTCCATGACCAGCTGGCACCCAGCAGGGGAAGGTGGGGGCTATTAGGAACCCTCCCAAGGAGGGTGGCTCCTCTAGGTCAGGGATTCTGGCCCATTGGGCCTTCCCCAACTTGGCAGAAGCCCAGAAAAAAGTCTTGAGCCTTACTCCTACTCAGCACAACTGGGGACCAGTCTGTTTCAGTGAGGAAACCCTGTGCTCAGGGGTACATATGGGTGTGTACACACATGTAGGTATACCTCTTGTCCTGTGTGCATGTAAGGGCAAACATGCCGGCAATGCACATGTGCATGCATGTGTTCATGTGTGCCCAAGCATGCACATGCAACTGGTGTGCACAGTGCATATGTGCACTGAATGCAGTATATATGCACGTATACATGCAAGTTGCCAGGAGCTCCCTGTCCCTTTGTTCTGCTTGACCTAGGTGCAGATCTGGGATCGAGCTTCCCTTGGTGTCCTGATGTTGGCCCCAGGTAGGCTTCCTCTGCTATGAGATGACCACTATAGCAATCTGTCACTGGTGGCCAGGCTCAGAGGCCTTGAGGATAGGGAGAGGCCACCAAGGGGTCTAGGCAGCAGTATGAGCAAGGGCTTGGCCAAGTTTCCAGCACAACAGAGGGAGTGAGGACCCCGTTCACACCTGGAGTTCCTCTGTTGGTCCTGTCTACATGTGCCACATGCTCCGACCACCTGTTCTCACCTGTCCAGGCCATCCCTCCCACCTGAACCCACCTTGGAAAAGCAGCCAGGGATGCAATGCCCTCTGAGGGCCTCTTGGGGTCAGACTAAGAACCACAGTGGTGGTCACTGGGTCTGTGCTCAGTTTGGCAGAAGTGTCTGGGGTTAGCCAAGGTGGGGAAGAGGGTGGCTTGGGGTGGAGCAGTCCACCCAGTACTTCTGTACCTGAGTTTGGTTTACAAAGGCCACTGGGGCAGAAGTGGTGAGGGAACCATGAGGAGTCACAGGCCTTGGCCCTGTCTAGGGCCTCCTAACCAATGGCCATGCTCTTCCCTGCCAGGCTTCTGGTAGCAGGAAAGGGCTGGGCAGGGAGAGGCCAGCCAAGGGGTTAATTCCCCAGGTCAGCAAATACCTTGAGACAGTCCTGAGCAAATGAGAGGTCCTTGCCACACCTTCTTCCATCCTAGCTGCCCACCCCCACCCCCTAGCTCTAGATCAGCATCCATAATGCCCAGGCGTCCTAGCCACAGATTGGAGAGCATTTTCCATGGACAGGGGAAACCCCCAAGGTGGATACCATTCCATGTTAGTGTCATACACAGATCATGCTGCTGCTCCAAGCCTGTCCAACTATTATCTACTTATTCCCCTTACTCCCTAGCCCACCTAAACCATATGAGAGCCAGGCCCTAGGAGTCCAGCAGGGCCAGGTGTGAAGCAGGAGAGGGGTGGCACCAGCTGGGAACAAGCCAACTATAGGTAGTACCAAGAGCTAGCAAAGAATGAGGGGTGGGGGGAGGAAGGAGGAGGCAGGGCAGCCCTCCAAGGTACTTTTTGGGTGGAGACAGCAAAACAAAACTCAGTTATGAGGAGTTTTATGGGTAACAAGCTGGTGTGGCCCTGAGGGCCAGGCTGGAGAGAAGGGCCTGGTGTCCCCATGATGGGGAGTCTAAAACACTGTCAGGTGTTAAGTCATATGCAGCTGCATGGAGTCAGTGGGAGGCAAGATGACCTGAAGGAGTAGTCCCTGGGTCAGGTGAAAACAAGCTCACTGGCCTGGGTCAAGTGCAGAGAGGCGGTGGGAAGTCAGCTGCAGGGCTGCTGCCTCTGGATCCACTTGACAGGCCCACACTGGGCCTGCGCCGGCAGAGGGGCAATCTTGCCTGCCCACTCCTCATTGACTATCACATCAACCCTGGACAGACAGATGATAAAGGAGGGCTCTCAGCTGTGGAACTGAGGGAAGAAGCCCAGATTCATGTTCCATGGGGTGCTTTCTCTGCTATTGCTCAGTTTGGACACAAAGGCAGCTTAAAGTCTCGGCAGAGGACCCTGGGAGAATCTGTTTGAGGAGTAGGGTGTGAAGCCCCCTACAAGCCAGAACAGGGGAATCCCCCACTGAGAGCCAGCCTCAGAGTGGAGCAGCCAGGCTCCAGGCTGTGGACAATGACCTGCCTCCCACAGGGTCCTGGACTTAGATGCGTGTGCAAGGCAACAAAAGCTTTCTGGTGGGAGGTCTTGGGAGACAGGCCCCTCAGGGAGCACAGAGATGGGGGAGGGGGAGAATCTAGTAATCCAATACAGCCACACATGAACTCAGCACCTGGTCCCCAGAGGCACTGCAGAGACTCTGACTGGTGCAGACATGGGATTCAGCTGACTAGCAGTACAAATGCTTTTAACAACCAGTGATCTGTTTTGGGTTTAAACAAAGGCCATGGGCTCCACATAGTATTCGAGGTACCCAAAACAGAATCCAAAATGACCCTGGGCATGAAAATCAGGGAAATCTCCATCTAGAAAAAAAGCACTCAGCAGGTACCCAGTATGATTCACATACTGAAAGAACCAGGTAGAACTTAATGAATGGGAAAATAGGAATGATCAGGTACAAGGCAGAAGATTTAAAGGCAGACAAAATGGAAATTTTAGAACTGATATATACAATAACCAAAATTTAAAATCCATGGATGAGCTCAATAACAAAATGGAAACAAGAGGTAAACTAGATGATGGTTTAGAAAAAGATACAAACTTACAAACCAAGAAACTCACTGAGCCACAAACAGGACCAATTAACAATGAGAGTTCATGCCCAGAAACATCATAATGAAACTTCTGAAAACTAAAGACCAAGAAAAATCCTATAATCATCCAGAAAAAAAAGTATGTGTTTTACATAGGGAACAACTCTGCAAAACTATGAATTTCTTGCCAGAAATCATGGAGGCCCAAAGTGAAACAACATTTTTGAAGTGTTAAAATATAAGAATTGTCACCTACAGATTCTATATTCAGCAAGAATAATCTTTGGGGATGAAGGTGAAATAAAGATATTCTCAAATCAAGGCAAACTAGAAGTTAAATTCATAACCTAAGCACCTGCTCTGAAAGAAACATTAAAGCAGATTCTTCAGATAGGAGAAATAACCCAAGAGAAAAACTCAGAACACAGGAGATGCCAGAGTGACACAAATAGAAATAAACAAACAAGCAAGCAAAAGAGAGATCATGCTCCATTGAAAGTATGCATGATGGTGGAATTAAACTGACACTGTCTGATGGGGCTTCAACATATGTGGGACAATTCCAGAACAAGTAGGGTGTGAGTGTGTGTATACATATGGAAGTAGGGAGGAGAGAAAGAGATGGAGAGTTGAGGGGAAGAAGAAACAAGTGAAAAACAAGAAGCAAACAGAAAACAAAGTATCAATACATAATGGAAGATCCTGAACCCAAACATTCTAGTAGTTCCATTAAATGTAAATGGCTCACTGCACCAATAAAAGATTAAAAATGAATAACCTAATTTATATGCTCTTTTAAAGAAATACACTTAGGGAACCAGCAGATGGTTTAATGGTCACATTGATGGACTCCCACATAGTTGACTGTGATTTGAGTCCCCGGCCCCACTGCCAGGCACCTGTGCATACATGCCCAAAATCCGAAGAGGAGAGTGAAGGAGAATTAATTGTGGTATGGTCATCCCCCTGAGGCGGGAGGGGTGTGATTTCTCATTTTCTGGCTTCCTGGTGAGCACATGAACCGTATAGCAAAAATCTATTTAAAAAAAAAAGAAAAACACACTTTAGGGCCAGCCAGTGGCATGGTGGTTAAGACAGCTGAATCCCACATGGATCCCGCTGACTGCATGGTTTGAACCCCAGATGCAACAGCCTGAGAATACACACCAGGTATACATGCTTGTGTGCTTCAAGGATCCCAAAGGGATGAAGAGTTGAAGATGGGGGGGACCAGCAGTTAGCGTAATGGCTATGTCGCTGGACTCCCATGAAGTTGACCGTGGTTCGAGTCCCGGATGCGGTGGCTTAAATTCACACTGGGCACGTGTGCATGTGTGCCGAAGATCCCGAGAGGAGAATGGAGGAGAAGGGATTGCAGCGTGGCCATACCCCCTGGGGGGGTGATTTCTCACTTTCTGTCTCTCTGTCTCTGTCTGTCTGGCGAGCGCACGCACCCTGTAGCAAAAACCTCTCCCAAAAAAAAGAGTTGACAGGATTATGGTGTGGCCACCCCCCTGGAGAGGTGCTATCTTACTTTTTCTAGCTGACAAGCACATATATCCTATATTAAATAATTTTAAAAAGAATGGGAGAGAGAAAGAAACACTGTAGATAGAATGCTGTAAACATAGGTTACAGGGCAGTATTACCCTGATACCAAACCTAGGTATCTCAAAAAAATTATAGCTGGGACCATCAGATGGTGTAATGGCTATGTTGCTGGACTCCCATGTAATCGACCATGGTTCAAGTCCCGTACCCAGGGCTTAAACTCACACCAGGGGCGTGTGCATGTGAGCCCAAGATCCCGAGAGGAGAATGGAGGAGAAGGGATTGTGGTGTGGCCATCCACCCTGGGGGTGATTTCTCACTTTCTGTCTCTCTGTGTGTCTGTCTCTGGCTAGCGCACACACCCTGTAGCAAAACCTTCTCAAAAAAAAAACGAAAAAGAAAACTATAGCCAACATCTCGTGTTCATAAAACATCTACAACAAAATACTAGAAGACATAATCCAGCAATGAATAATATGAAAAATACACCATGACCAAGCATAAGTTATACCAGGAACACGCCCTTTCATGATAAAAGCACTCAATAAAGTAGGACTAGAAGGAGGCCTCCTCAATCTAAGAAAGCCTATCTACAAAAAAAACTACAGCAGCGGGAACCAGCAGTTAGCGTAAT